ATAGCGGGGTCACAACTTTCCCCGCCAAGCGTGACTCCGACTTAGAAAAATTTGCCCCCTCAGACGTACAAAATCGTCTCTGGCACACATTGTTCAATGATGTTTTTGAAGCGAATGGAGTTGATTGGAATAGGTGAGAAAAGAGGATTTTCTCCTTGAGTCAGTCCAAATTCATCGAAATTTGACCTATGTCAAATGAATCTATGGCCTTCAAAACCTACAATGGTGCAAATCTCCCAAGGCATGATTTTTCTGAGTTATGAGGCTCTCAAATCACGAAGTCCCACTCATAGTTGGCGCGTGTCACGCGCATCCCGCCAAAAGGGCGACCGTAGTTCCCAGCCGCTTCGCAGTGTAGCGAGTAGTACGAGCGGAGCTTGAATTGCGAAGTGGCTGGTATCGAGCCTAGGCCCGGAGGGCCGAGATGCTGCCCAACTCCTCCGGCCGCGTTTCCCACAGCTCCGTCGTTTCGATCTTGCTGCGTGCATCCTTACAATCGAGTCTCTCGTCTACGCTTCCCCAGAGTTCCTCAATACGCACGCTCCATCATGGACTCCCCCATGGACCCCGGCTCGCCCGAGTCATCCATCTCCTCGCGGGGCACCCCGCCCCCCGACGAGCAGATGTCCGTCACCCCGCAGCCGTTCTCGCCTAGCACGTCCGGCATGTCTTCCTTCCTCTCCTCGAAACGGCGCATGCAAGGCGGGCCCTGTGCCGGCGCGGCCAAGGCGCGCAGGACGGACGGGAGGCGGGGCGCGCAGTGGGTAGAGGGACCGGGTGCCGGCGCGGGGAAGGCGGCGAGGAAGGACGAGGATTTGGTGGATGTGGCGTTTATGGAGGAGTTGCGGGAACGTGAGTGTGTTTGCGGTGTGTCTTAACTTTGGGGCTTATGGCGAATGTGGCGTTTGTGGCGTCCGCAGAACTGGGAGACCCGTTCGACGAAAGGGCGCTGAAAGCGGATAACTGAAGATCGCGTGTATTTTGTTTGTTTGGGCGAGGTTTGTAAGATGATGCTGGTTTCAACGAATTGCGAGCGTTATTTTGGGACCGCGTCTCTTGTCTCGTGAACGCCCTGTGATCCACCGTCCAGACTGTCTGTCGCTGCATTCTCCCGCTCTCTTGCTCTCTTTCGGGACACTCTGGCCTCTGCGCAACTGACTTGCAGGCAAGGAATAACATCGGGCATCCCGCGGACTCCTGATGCGCGGCGCAATTGTGTACTACTCTGGAACGTACCTCGGTGATGTAATGTTATCTCAAACCTCCTACTGCTGCACGTCTCTAGATATCGTGCTGGCGACGTCTTCTGGCAGACGAGCGGACCATCCACACCTTACCTTTTCTCTTCTGTTTGGAAAATTACCCGCAGTCTCGCCTCCGCCCTTACTACTGACCTGGACTAGTGTCATGAAAGACAGAGTGCTATGTGACGTACTGAGTAGCCAGCGATAGCATTCCTGCTTGACGGCACTCCGAAATTCTGTGCTATGGGCCGCTGGTCCGGTGACCTTCCCCTCCCCCGAGCTTCCTCCGCTGGACTTTATATACAAGGGCGCGCCAGAGTTTGGTCGGGCCTCCCTGAGGTCCACTCTACCTACCCTCTACCGTTCCTGTCTTCGCATCAGCGCAGCTATGGCACCGCAGTACCGCGCGCTCACTCGTCCGTGCTCACCTACCCGTTCTGGGATGCGTAACTGACACGCTGTCTGGAAGCTGAACAGGTGAACCAGTTCATGGAGGAGGGGTACGTCGTTATCAAGGGCGCGTTCACGAAGGAGCAGGCGGAGGACTTTACGAGCACGATGTGGGTGCGCCTGGGCTTGGACCCCAACGACAAGTCGACGTGGGAGAAGGACAGGATCCATATGCCGTGGCATATACGCAAGGAGGTGGCTACCTTCGCTCCGAGGGTGTGTGCGTCTCAGCGTGTGAGTCGGTGCAGGTCTGATGCCGTGCTTCGCAGGCTTGGGAGGCGATGTGTGATTTGCTGGGGGGCAACGAGAGGATAGACCCGATCAGCTCGTCGTGGGGCGACAGCTTCATCGTCAACTTTGGCACGGAGGAGCTGGAGAAGAGGACGGACACCATCCCGCCGAAGGAGCTGGACAACTGGCACGTCGACGGTGACTTCTTCGTCCGTCGCGCCCGATGCGAATGCGTACATGGTATGCTAACGCCGAGGTAAAAACAGGTCCACTTCCTGGACTCCCCGGAGCAAGCGCTGCTTGTCATCCCGATCTTCTCGGAGATCAAGCCCCGCGGGGGCGGGACGTACATCTGCCCGGACGGGATCGACCTGATCGCGAACTACCTCGCCGCGCACCCCGAGGGCGTCCTGCCCACGGGGCTGTCGTTCACGCCGTCGACGTCGACGTGCGAGAAGCACGAGGACGACCCGGGGTACTGGTCGCACCTGAAGGAGATCCAGCGGTGCGAGCGGTTCGTCGAGCTGACGGGCGAGGTCGGCGACGTGGTGCTCATCCACCCGCTGATGCTGCACTCGGCGTCGAAGAACTACCTGCGCATCCCGCGCGTGATCACGAACCCGCCCGTCGGGCTGAAGGAGCCGTTCAACTTCAACAGGGAGGACCCGGACGAGTTCAGCTTGGTGGAGAAGAAGACGCTGAAGGCGCTGGGCGTGGAGAGGCTGGACTTTAAGCCGACGACGGAGCGCAGGAGGATCGTGCCGAAGAGGATGCTGCTGGCTAATAAGATGCTCGAAGACGAGAAGAAGAGGTTGGAGGCTATCAGGGCCAGCAAGCAGAATGTGGATATGTCCAACTCGAAGCCCATCGCCGTTGCTTGAGTATGCGTACTACGTAGTAGACAGAGCCGTGTACGATATCCGGTTTGCTTGCGCTGTTTCTTCAGCTTTCGCGCGTTCCTCATTAACGCGACCCCGTCGCGGTCACGTGTCAACGCTATCTTAGCAATGCCGGCTGCCGGCCCGGGGCCCGATGTTATTCTTGCATCTCGTATCGCGTCCACGCAGCGTTCTCTCTGCGCGCCATGAAGGGGGATCCAGGAGGGCCACAGGACGGACGCGTCCCCTCCGGCGGATATGTGCCCATCATACAGAAACGAAATACACTAAGCCGGACCCAGAAGCTCTTCAGATTCGTCGCACTGCTCGCGGCAGGTGCTGCTCTGTCTGCTGTCGTCCACGGACCCTGGGCATGGCGCTTTCGACAAGTTCCTCTACACTCTCAGCACGCCCATGCTGTACAAAGCGACCCAGCAAACGAGTGGAAAGACGACGTCTGGCCTATACGCGCACAGACGCCCTGGGATATCTCGACGGACTACCCGTACCCGCGCAAGCTCCAATACGACGTCGAGGAGGGCACCTGGCTGCGGCTGGACGTCCACCCCAAGACGGGGGACATAGTCTTTGACATGCTCGGGGATATATACTGCTTACCTGCGAGTGAGTACGGGCAGAGAAGTGGAACAGCACCGACGGCTGCGAGGCCGGTGCTGCTGGGCGTCCCGCACGATAGCGACCCGCGGTTTTCGCCCGGGGGAGAGACGGTTGTGTTCAGGAGTGATGCGGAGTTGGGCGTGGAGAATATCTGGGTGATGAAGTGGACGTCCTGTGAGGAGATGGACGTGGGCTCCCCCAGAAGCGGGAACGACGAGCTACGGGAGGCTGTTGCTCTAGGTGCGAGGGAGGACGAGATGCTTGCTAGCCGTGTGAAGGAGTCGCCCGACAGGAAGAGGAGGCGACTTCTGCGCGAGGGTCGCCTAGTCGGTAAGCTATGGATTGCTTCAATGACCGCGAGCACATGATCACAGCCGTGACTATCCAGCACGCAGGGTCACAAACGAGACCTACCGCTGGGTATCCGACGCCCGCTTTCATCCATCCGGGGACACGGTCATCGCCACGAAGTGGTACACATCCTCGCGGAGCCTGGGCGCCGGGGAGGGGTGGGAATACCCCGTCCCTTCTCTTGAAGATGATTCTGCTACCGCTATCGAGGCGGGCTCAGGTAGAATGTTAATAGGCCGCAGTCTGCCTCCTGGGTGGACCGCGGAACAGTATGGCGATCAGCAAATTGGACCGGAGCAGTTCATTTGGAGAGGGAATGATAGCGTTATCTACGCAAAGAACGTCAAAGACGTGAACGGCGTGTTCACGTACAGCAAAGGTGCACCTGCCTTTTCCAGCTCTGTTCTGTTCTGACGGGGCCGCGTTAGACGTTCACAGCGGGATATACGCGATATTCTCGCGCAATTTGACTACCAACACCACCGAGACTCTCGTCGACTCGTTCCCGGGCGGTGCCAGCCGACCGGAGCTGTCGCGCGACGAGCGCACCCTCGCGTTCGTCCGCCGCGTCCGCGACAAGGAAGCTCTCGTCTTAAAGTGCGCATACACCACTCGCATTTATATACATGTCTCGTACTCATACGTCGGTTGAAAGAGATCTCGTCACGGGCACGATCCGCCATATCTGGCACGGGCTGACGTACGATCTATCGATAGTCTCCGCCCCGATGGGCACGTACCCGTCGTTCGCGTTCACCCCCTCCGACGACGCGATCATAATCTGGGCGGCCGGTAAGATCTACAGCGTGCCGCTCTCCACTAACTTCGATGGGGAGAAGGTGGCGGCTGGAGAGCCGCAGGTTATACCGTTCCGAGCCCATGTCGAGAAGAGGCTGGCGGAGACGCTGACGGCTAGCCCGGATATTCTGGGCCTCGAGACCGCGGATACACAGCGGGCGCGTGCGTTCAAGGAGGTCGACGTCGACGAGCAAGGGGCGCGGGTCGTCTTCTCAACTGCGGGGAAGACCTACGTACAAGCGGTCGGCGCGGGGGACGAGGCAGTGAAATTGCCTGGACTGGTAGAGGACGCGCCATACTACTCGCCATCCTTCGTCCCCGGGTACAGCGACATGGTTCTGCACGCTCGCTGGTCGGATATCAATTTCACGACGTTTGAGCTGGCGAATGTCACCTCGGGCGAGGCGTCCGTGCTCACTGGCTTGCCGAGGGGCAGGTACTACGCGCCGGTGCTGTGCGAGTGCCCCGGGCGCCGGAGGCAGATTGCGTTCGTCAAGAACGCTGGGGACTGGCTTACGGGCGATGTCGTCGCTACCGCTGGAGCGGGTCTGTACCTCGGCAGCCTCGAGCTCCCGTCTGCATCTGCGTCTGGCGGCACAGAAATAGAGGTTACGAACGTACACCTCGTGCCCTCCCAGATCGACCTGGACGACAGGATCAAGCTGAGGTTCCTGGAGAAGAACGCAAAGCTGCTCGTCCAGCAGTCCGACAGGGCGTTTGTCATCGACCTGGCCTCCGGGCCGGATGGGATGGGGAAGTACAAGCACGAGACGGTCGCGACGGGCAGGATGTCGAAGGAGCTCGTCGTCTCACCTGGTCTGGCGCTGGGAAATCCGAACGAGGGGCGGTATGTTGCGTTTGTGGATTTCTTTGATGTGTATGTGGCTCCGCCATCGGGGGAGGCTGTCTGGAGCAAGCCGTCCAGGGCGACGAAGGGGCTTGCGCGGCTTAGCCTTGATGGCGGCCATGATATAACGTGGAGCCGTGACGGGAAGAGGCTGTTTTGGTTCCTCGGTACGTCTTGTCCCAGCTTGCCTAGGATGGCCGAGTTGACGTGGGGAGCAGGTCCCTTCCTCCACACCATCGAGATCTCGAAGCTGGCGCGCTGTGAGTCGGAGATTGCCAAGGACCCGGTTGACTTCGGTATCTCGTGTGTGCGTAACTTGGTCGAGTACCAGGAGGTCGTGGTGAGGTACCCTACGGATATTAAGCGGCTGAAGGAGGAGGCCGGTGCCCATCGGGCAAACCGTAACGCGGATCCTCGCGACGCCGACGTCCTTGCCGTCGTGAATGCCACTATTCTGACGATGCGAGGTGATTCCTTGGAGGCTGATCTGATCGAGGACGGTGTAATGGTCACCAGGGGAGGCGTTATCGAGTCTGTCGGACCCGCATCGCTGCTTGAGATACCCTCTTCTGCAGCCATCTTGGACGTGCAAGGAGGTATGTCAGGTATTATTCTCTCATGGGCCATGAAGCGAATGTTCGCACAGGTCTCGTGGTTCCTGGCTTCATTGACGGACATGCCCACTGGAACGGCGTTTCCGCCCGGTACCCAGCGAAGTCTTGGGAGCTTGAGACGTTCCTTGCCTACGGCGTGACCACGCTGCATAAGTAAGGCTGCTAGTCCGTGCTTCTCTTGTATGGTCTGAGGTCGCTCCGCGCTCTGCAGCCCTAGTTCGGACAATGTCCTGGGATACGACGAACGTAACAGGCTCGAGAGCGGGCAGATGGTAGGCCCGAGGATATACCACACGGGCGATGTCATCTACGGCGCTGGCGAGCCCAGCCTCCACCAGGATATCGTTGACCAAGATGAGGCGTATTCTGCGCTACTCAGGATCAAGGCGGAAGGTGGCCCCGCCAGTTTTTCGTATAAGAATTACAACCAGCCCTCGAGGTGAGAGTGATCCGGCGGGTTGGGCATGTGACTGACTTTTGGGCTAGGGCTTCGCGCCAGAGGTTGCTTTTGGCTGCTAGAAATCTCTCCATGATCTGTGTTCCGGAAGGGGTCTGATCAATATGCTCTTGTTTTTATAGTCGCAGGCTCATGTGCACCATAGGGAATGAATCAAGACTGGGATCTGACTTATATTATCGATGGTATGCTTCCACAGGAATTCTACTGACGCAGTACTTATGTTGAGCAGGGATGACCACCGTTGAGCACGCGCTTCCTGTTCCGGAGCTTTACGACGATGTCCTTACACTGTATGCCCTGAGCGGTACGGCATCGACTCCTACGCACGTCGTAAACTATGGCGGTGCATGGGGAGAGCAGTATGTCTGGGCACACGAGGATATCCCCAACGATGCAAAGTCAGACAAGTACTATAACTTGTCCTGTCTTTTGCTAATACCCTCTCAGACTTCGTGAGTTTACTCGGCATGATGTCTTGGAAGGCCTGTCCGAAACAACCTGGAGGCCCAAAAATTGTTAACGTATTTCTCATATTCGAAATCCGCCGTTGGCTCACTGTCATTTATGCAGCATTTGCCCTGTACAATACTTCTGCGTCAGTCGCGAAGATGGTCCAGAATAGTTTGCATGTTCTGATCGGCGCTCATGGAGAACCACCCCTAGGACTGAACTATCACGCCGAGATGTACTTTACTCAGCAAGGCGGTTTGAGCAACTATGAGGTACGCGCCACTAGGAACTGGCATCGTTCCTTCTAACACTTCTATCGCCATAGGTCCTCCGTGCTGCTACATCCGATGCTGCCAAAACGCTCGGACTATACTCTGCACTCGGCTCTGTTGAGGGCGGAAAGCTCGCCGACTACGTCGTATATCCCGCCGGGGTAGAGTTGTTGAAAGCGGACATACAAGACTCGAGAAATATTTGGTATGTCGCTAGAGGGGGCCGTTTGTGGGAAGCGGCTACAATGGTTGAGGTTTGGCCAGTCAGTGGACGGAAAGAACAGATGCCACCTCTGAATGCCGAGTAGTATGATGCTGTCTTACGTACAAATAATCGACATGTTTGAAGTACTTCCGATCCGCACCAAAGTTCCGATAGGTTTATTTGCAATTCTCTCTACCGGTCGCGATAAAACCTCGACTTCGGAAGTGAGGAGCAAAAGATACAGCTGATCGAGAACAAAATACTAGCCCACCGCGGGGGTCGAACCCGCAGCCTTCAGATTCTCTTTGCCCGACAACTTCACTGGCCGTAAAAGTCTGACGCTCTGGCCAATTGAGCTAGGCGGGCTGTATGATTGCTTCTTTTCATGGCTTTATATAGTGTACGGCCCATACAGCGCTTCTAATCGCCTCCCGTGGATCAAGCCCAGTGGAAATCGACAATATTCTCGTGTTTTTAAATATGTTCCTCTATATAACAGGTAGAACAATGGCTCTAAATACAGGGGAATGTAGTAAGTGGCACTTTAAATACATGGAGTTATATTCTGATGATTTGTGCCGCTATCGCAGCTGGCGTGGCATAGGTTGGTAATAGATCTAAATACATCGAAAATAGCTGCAAAATCAGGGATATACAGTCGTGGTGCGCCGCGTATGATATGGGCTTCCCCGGTATCAGGAGTGAGCGGTAGGATATTCTTGTACTTTTACAGATATTCACGTGTGTTCTCATATATTGCCCCCTCGCATGCCCATCTCGCTGTATTTACACTTATTACTATGATTTTATACCTTTTCAGGCTGTCGTTGTGACCCCCACCTCGCCCCTCTGTTTTGCCGGTCCCCCGGCAATCCCACATCCCCCCGCTTCGCACCCTCTCGTATCCGATCCCCACTTCCACTATCTCTACACGCCCTCGCCCCCCACTTACTCCGGTTTGCGAGCGCGACCTGTCTCCAGTTCCATATGCTGTACTTGCAATGGGCACATACCTATTCAACCTGTCCTAGGATCGCCTCCTGCGTTGATATTGAAGTCAGAATATTAAAATTTTGTAACCTAACTAACAATTACTCACTATATCTCTACACTCTTGTGCGTTCCGCAACGTGCCCCCTGCGGCCCTGCCTCGAGAATTCCGCCTAAGACAAGTCATATTGGTAAATAATTCAGAGCGCAAAGGGGACGATACCTTGTGGTTAAGAGGAGTGTGCGTGCAAACGTTTTACTGCGACGCGACGACTTTATGAATCGCGCGAGAGCGACAAGTGATGTCATACCGCGATCAATGCAGCTAAATATACACCAACAACTTGAACGCGGTAGAGTCGGCCCTGGTAGAGTCCGCGATTCAATCCGACGCGGCCGACGCGCTCACGCAGGCGACACGCGAGGCATGCGCTCACGCGACGTACTCGACAGCATCGCGTCCCCGTGTGACGCACACCTGATGCAGGTAGAGTAGGTCGAGGGAGTGTCATGCAAGTCAGGCTCCTAAACCACCCGTCCTTAGCGTTCGCGCTCCTCTAATTACTAGGGCAGAAGTGAAATATTATGTAAGAAAATATATTATATGAGAATTACCGGATACAGAATGAACAAGAGGAGGAGAACGCTATAGGACGCAGGCTCCTAAACCACCCGTCCTTAGCGTTCGCGCTCCTCTAATTACTAGGACAGAAGTGAAATATTATGTAAGAAAATGTATTATATGAGAATTACCGGATACAGAACGAACAAGAGGAGGAGAACGCTATAGGACGGCTGGAACAAATCGTCTCCCCGAGATCACCGAGTCTGACTAAGCATGCCAAAAACGGCAGTAGCTGAATTGCTTCAACAGTAGTGAGTGTACTATATGCTCACTGAATACTCAGCCCGAGT